TCTGCTAGGCTACCCCAGACGTGTCGAAGACACGTCTGGGCACGAGACCACGATTACTAGCGAAGAGGAAACGTCCTCCGAGTCATCCATGTCCGCGGAAGGAAGAACTCTCACGCCACTGCGCAATTGTCATCCAGACTCAGCTCGATCATACAGTCCCGGGATATCGGATATATCATCGGACTGTATGTATCTGTCCAACGAGAGCGGGTGGGACAATAGCTACTAGTACGTACTACAGTCAACTCTATGTAACCCATACCCTTGGAGCACATCTCACTTCGGAGGCTTTTATATAAATTTCATCAGATGTATATTCCCAGGCTGCAGCTGCAAGCATGCACCAATGCCGAGCCACCCGTGATGCAAAGACTGTTATGTTGGATGGAATTTTTGATTCAGAAGGGCATGGGTTGTGAGAGAGTTGATTGCATGTGCCACCTGGTGCTGCGGAGCGAAAGCCCGAGCTGTATCGCACAGTGCCAGCGGCAGCAACGCATCTCCCTTTCACTTGTCGGACTCTCATGATACTCACTATGTCCTCCATCACCCATGCCAGCTTGATGCGGCCCGGACCCTCCTCTCGCTTCCTAGTCACTTGTGTCGCTCTAGTGTCTCATGATCTCCGAGAGAGGGAGGTGAGATCGTACGAGCTTATGACCCAGGCAGAGCGATAGGTATTGGCTGTTCTGCTACGTACTGTGTGTCACCGCGTGCACATCGAAGGACGTTCATAAGGAGATCAAATGAGCAAATACAAGGGGATGAACCAAGATGGAAGAAGATACTGACAGGCCAATGATGGGCTCTTCTGCGTCTGCACCCGCTCCCTGCCGCGACGTCCTTCGCCTTTCCCCAATGGTAGCCAAAATCGATTTTGATATATTTAGACTTATAGAGTCGATGCAACAATTGATTTGGAGGAGTGTGCCGGAGAACGCTATATACACTGTACAGGTATTGAATGCTTAGTGAGAACTCTGCAGGGGTTACCGGTTTATTGAAGGCAATGGTGCGCGCTGGTATAAATTTTCAAAATACCCAATACTAATCATAGACGCACTCTGTCAAGTGTCTCGGTCGTACGCGAGATGCGGGGGCGTTGCCTTTTCCTTATGTCAGGACGGGAGTTCCGCGCACAGCTCATAGAGACCTCGTGTCAGTCCCATACCGCTTCGTGTATTTCTGAACCGATTGCTAATATCTCATCTATTTCTAAACCGATTGCTAATATCTCATCAATGTTGAATACTCAAAATCTATAAGATTTTTGAACTGAAGTTAACGATACCACTGACTGGATCCCCCCCAGCTGCGACTCAGTCTTGAGAGGCGACACTCCCTTCAGCGGGGGGTTTTAGAACCGCGTCCCTTGCCTTCGATGGCCGGGGCCTGCTCCTACAAGTCCGCCGTGCAGGTCCCGGTAGTTTTCCTTCTTTTTCTTGTACCTATGCCTTCAGCTTCTTTTCGGCCACATACCTCAGCGACGCCCGTTACGCCTCGTCAACCCGGGCCGTGTCCTCAATGCTTTGTTTCGATTGCGACTACTACTCTCGTACGTATGATGCACTGTATTTACTGTCTACATAGGGCTCGGCCCTAGCGGACATTAGAGGGGGGGGAAAGTTGACGACAATAGCTTTAGGTGATCATCCAGTATGATCATGAATTGTCATCACTAGCTATGCACACTGGCAGAAGATGGAAGTACTTCTACAAACAAGCGCGAATCAAATTACCTATCATCCCCCAAGCGTGACAGAATCCATTCACACCACATCAACACTAGCTGGGAGCACCAAGTCCACCGCATTAGTCCTTTCCAGTGGCACTTCTTTTACCTAAAGTATAATCAATAATCTCTCTAACATCACGGAATATCTCAATGTTTTGCTACACCAATATCATCAATTTACTGAACAAGAACCAGCAAAGATCGGGCGTACTGATCTGGACGATCCGTGACTCTCATGAAGCTCGATCTCGACAAGATTAGAAGGTTGCTTCCGTCCAGCTTCATGGCGTTGTCGAGCATTAAGCCTAGAAAAGAGTTGAGCGTCATCAGTCTAGCTCAAGCTACAGGACGAATGCCGTACATAGCAATCAGCGAATTCGCATAGACTTTTGTAACGTATCAGTAAAGAAAATGAATAGATCTCAACGGGGCGCACATTTGCTCTGAATCGCAACTAGTCCGCCAAAGAGTGAACTGGTCTTCAAGGCTGGTGCCCAAAACTAGGTATAGCGTGTATAGGCAGGAGATGCACATAAGCTCAACGAGGGCTCGTACCGTTGCAATGATCGTTATCGAAACACACCTTCGAAGCCATGAGTTATACTGTGAACAAGCAGACTTGACTTACATTGTTAAAGCACCGGTATTGATAATGTATGCCATCAACGTTCGAACCAAATTATCTGTTCTGATAAGACGGAGCATTTCAGACGCCCATCTAAAAGAATTCAGCGGAAACTCACGCCTTGTGACCCGTACGGTTAATCCAGAGATAATAAATTTGGCTGAGGGCGATGAGTACATCCAGAATTCCTGACAGGCTAATGCCACATGTGAACGTTATCTGCCGCGAGGGTGAGACAACTGTCAATGATCTTTATAATATAGGTATTCAAATGGGCAACACACTAGAGCTGCACGGGATGTTCTGAAGTCAAGCCAAGTATGAAATTTCCACCTGATGAGAATTGAGCACAAGGCATTAATATAAAAAAAGGGTGATTGACATACATTAAGCTTGCCGTTGCTAGAACGGGGTCATAATCAGAACATAGCACATGATGCAGGTATTATGATTGTTCTCCTACCGGTTCCAAACACTGATGCAACATAAGTTAGTTTCGTCGTCAACATAGCGATGGTGAACACAGACCGATGCGTAAGAAGAGCAAGATTGCCTTTGCGATATTCAGGATCAAATATTCGAACCGTCGAAGAAAGAACTCACCAGTATGGAGACTAGTGCAATAGATCCTCCACTCACTGCAAGTACAACCTTATATAATCAATATACATGTGTGAGAGTATGCAATGACGCACATATCCAGCTTCGCCAAATGAAAAAGCTAAGCAGGCATAATATGAGATGCCGTCAAAAAAACACGCAAAATACCCACATCTGGACCAAGCCTGCAATAAATGTCTTCACTCCAAATCAATTATTGAGCATGCAACGGAGTCAATCTGATTATAGGAATCTTACTCCTGCAACTAAAGTAGCCTGCATCCCAAATGTGCCTTACTTTTAAAAATCGAGGCGGATGTCAATTGTATAAACTTACCCCGGCACCCCTGAGGAAACCATCAGACATATGTTCATGCAACCAGGAGACAAAAGTAGGGCTAACCAATTGATCTGAAGAAGGTCTTCGAGGTCCCCAAAGTCAGTAATTGTGTAGTGGTAATTCATATATATGCAGAACACTGTGTGCACAGTCTCCAAACACCTTCAAAACAACACAGTATGGTAAGAAATATTTTTGCGGCTGAAACTAAGGGTCTTACCATACAGATACGACCAAGGAGCGAAGTAGTTTTGAGTCTTCTTGTGATGTCCACCAATAAAAGTATGTCTGTGCGGTGACAATTCCGTACAGACTTGAGATCAAGGTATTGTGAGTAAGCCAGGATAAATGAGAGGGGTAGGGTAAGAACGTACATGATAGCTATCTCTATGCAGAGTGTAAATCCGCCTCCTTGCTCTTCAACGGAGGGTGGGGTAGCAGCGGACATCTTGGAACCAGACAGACTTTGCGAATGTTAAACTCGGATATGGTACTCAAGAGCAGGATTTGAAACAGTTTCCACGAGGAAAAGTCGCAATCTCCTCCGGAAGTATACATACCATGGTGTTATCTGAATTTGTGAGCGTTAAACTGAGGCAATGCATACAACCTTCATGCGATAACGTCATGATCCTGATTCGAACTCCAAACGTCCCCTGTGCCAACAACGCGGCGCGCGCTCACACTAGCCTCCTGTGAGCAGAGTTGACACTTGAACGTTTGAACTTTCGCTCCTGCAGGCTTCAGATATCCGTATTCGACGCTCGTGACACCAGCGCCAGCGCATCGACTCATCGACATCCTGGATGAGTTATCCCCTCTTCCCCCCCTCTATGTATTGTATGATTCAATCCTGTCTACGTCATTGTTAAACCTGGATCCGTAACGCGTCTCGCGTTTTATCAGTCACGTATCCGTACTTGAATTGCCATGGACGAGACTAGGGAAGTTCAAAGTTGACGCAGCTGGGCTCGCAGAAAGTTCTGTGGTGCAGATGAGTCTTTAGGCGCTGAAGAAAATGCGAGCCCAAATGCAAAACCGCAAGAAAAGATGCCCATGTCTCTGCTTATCTAATGTCACGCTCAGATATACAATTGCGATTAATCTTTTTCTGAGTCATCATGATAACGAACGAGCACTACAGCAAAATGCGAAGCCTGCGTTCTCTTCAACCGCGGGCAATATCCAAAGTACGAATAGCGGACATGCAGTCTAACACAGCTCGCAGGGGGTAGCGAGTTTTCATTGTGTTCGGAGCTTAAACATCAGAAGCGCTCGACTGCCAAACATGGATGATCGGTAGCTGCTGATTAGCTGAACACCCATGTTCGACGGATGTTGCCACAATGTCCGACCAACATGTTTGAGCTCCGAGCATGATCAAGAAATGCTATCTTCAGTTACCGATGTTTTCCCTATGTTTGGCGCTCCACCTTTGGGCATTTCCCACAGATATAAGGGAGTCAATGTCACACAGGAAAGTCAGTGTGACTGCATTTTCAACTCGCAGCTCCAGAAACTCGCATCTTCTCTAGCGCCCAAAAGCGCATCTGCGCCGCAGAACTTTCTGCGAGCCCAGCTGCGTCAACTTTGAACTTCCCTACTCTGACGAGAGATGATCACGGATTGGAAGATTCGGACCCAACTAGTGTCCAATGCGCATGCCCCTCAGTCACCGTGGGGCCGGAGTGTTGTCATGTCCATTTTATTCCGCGGAAGCTGATTGTGCGTACCACTTATCCTATCTTTCTCCATCAAAGTTGCCACTTCACCTTAGTTTACCTGTAACCCGTAATGCCCGTTCATGTGCTCAAATGTACGCACAGTCTAGTTGGCATGTGGAGTTTGGGCACCGCTCGAAGTGTCCGCAGGGGGTGCCAGGAGTGGAGAAAATACTCAATAAACGGGCGCGTTCGTTGTAAGTCTTGCTTGACCGCGTGGTTAACGTTCAATGTCAACCAACAGTGACGATTTAATTTACTATTGTGGGATATCCCTGCGGTATATCCGCGAAATAGATGCCTTCATAGTGTCATCTTTACGTAGCTCACTGCTGGTGAGTAATGCTTAGAGAACGCTCAAAACAAGTCTGACATGATTGCGTAATTAGAGGATGCTACGGTGGCGGTTGAAATCACCATCACTAGATATCACAACAGATCATACTCGCGAAATGAATATTTTACTAGTGGAGAGATGAACACTTATCACTGATTGGTCAGAATGCATACAGTACAGGCAAACCTGGTTCGTTGACAGGTCAATTGGCTTCTCAAGATGGAGAGTTGAGCTACTATTGATACTCTGACTGTACCCGGAGGATACCCACACAACACCTTGCGATGTCATAGCACAATAATTCCGCATCAACGTCAAAGAGTTCTACTTCTACTTAGAAGGCTCTCTGGCGGTCAACGACACTACGAGCGCTTTGACAGCGATGAGAGACGTGAGAATCGGAGTTTTTACTTATATTCTGGTCCATCTATCAGCGACTCCATGATTGTGATCTTCATACACGTTTACGTTACAGGTTACGACATCACAGGTACTGAGATAACTTGTGGCAGATACCCGCCCAAATAGTCTGGAATGTAGGCTCGTACCCAGCTGTTCTGACTTTTGAACTCCGCTGCGAAAGCAGCTCGTTCGTCAGAACATGTTCTTCGTTTTCGCACTCAGACGCTCCTTTTTTTTATTAGCAAGAATCAACGCAAACGGTAAGAACATGTTCTAAGCCCGACTGGCCTGCGAGTCTATGTGGAATGTGCGCCAGTAGCCTTCCAACCTCCTGCCTCAAGTAGAGAGATGAGCTGTTCTAGCGTCCTCTGTGTCACATTGAAGTGGACATATACGTTGAGAAGTCATAATCGTAGACTTAACATGTGCTTGTCCTCAGTATGTCATCTGGACTTGTGGAGTCGACGCGACAAATTATATCCAGGAGTGTATGATATCGGAGAAAATTACGGACATATATTCAACACTTTCTAAGATCTATATAGAAGGAGAGGATGGGGTGCTAAACAGCCACAAAGCCACATGGCAGCCACATGGCCTGACTGCCCCTCCCTAATGCTCTGTGCACACGTGAGAAGAAACTGCGATAGCGGCCGATTGTGGCCACTGAGAAAAGCCACAATAACGGCAATGTATTTCCTGGAGCTCTGGGGCCCTGTTCTGTGAATTTCATTTTCAGTGCTTCTGCACAAAAATATTGTGCAAGGGAGGTCCCTGCGAGAATACAATTTAGTGGACACCTCAACTCATGGCTCATGTGCAGCACGTCAATACAGGCACAAACAGATGCTGGGAACAACCATGTGGGGGAGTGAAAAGACTTGAGCAC